CGAGGACAAACTTGCTTCGTTCCGCACATTCACACAAACAAAGATAGCGGAGAATTCCATCAGCCCAGATGAAATAATAAATATGGACGAAGACCCGCTGACATTTGATTTGCCTCTCACTCGGACTGTAAATAGAAAAGGTGACTGCATTATTCTATTTAAAGTAGAGTTTAGATCGGGCCGCCCGAGCGCGAGCCCGACCCGACCCGAATTTCGGTCTCTCGTGCGAACCACGAGAGACCGTGGTTCGCAATAAATCAGAAGTCGCCTCATCACAACACATACTGTACTAAACTCTTGCAATGACAATTGAAAGAACTCCTTCCAGTCTCTGTCGAGTATCCACCCGTCATTGTTCGTCTTTGTCTCTCTGCTACTCTCTCTTAAAGTGCCGCGCTAGATTCTTAAGGACGTACTGCTGCGGTGGTTTACGGCCCAATTTTCAACCCGTCAAAATGACGGACGGCCTTAAATTTTCCCTCTCCACTCTTAAAAAAATCTGTCAATGATGGAAAATGGTCGGTTAATGTAACCTCTTCATAAACAGAAATATAAAAGATGTAAATGTTTATACAGTCTTGTTTAACTTAGATTTCGTTCCAAAAGACAGGCTTTGTTATCAGAAATCACCCCTCCTCCTCCCAAGTCCTCACAAATAAAATATGAAATGTTGGGTTTGCTTCGGGCTCGGGCCTGTGTTTCAGCGTAATTTCGTTGTGCAAATGCATTTAGCATGCTGATAAAAATATGGAGATTATTTTAACCTTAAGAAATGTTGCGTTTTTTTTCTGCGGGGGTTCATCGGGGACCGCATCCGCGGTCTCACCCGGAGGCGCTCCAGGCATCAGGGACGCAGAAGCAAACCCCTGCCTACTCATTGGCCAGCGGTTTATAATACGGTGCAGCGCATATAATTCCAAAATTGATTTTTCTTCATAAATCTGAGCATGCGGATGTTAATCAGGTGCGGTCTGTAGCCTGGAATTTACAGTACATTTAGCCAATAATAAAGTAGCGATCAATTTTCAACACAAATTAGTAACCTGATGACAGATAGTGAGAATGTCATCAATTTTAGCATTTGAAAACAAATGCATTCTGTTATTGAGAGAAATTATCACTGGCAGCACAGGATTAACTTTTTACAAAGTGGCTAATAATGGCATATGTCCGTCTGTGTAAACTCACTCAAATGAGTGAGTAAATGACGCATTTAATTTTAATTGCGATATCGATCAAGACGGCAGCGGCCGCCACCAAGCTTCCTTGCTTCGCAACAGCAGCGACGAGCTGCGTGGTGCAGATCCTCTCCATCCAGCTGTCTTCTTTTCCAGGAAGAAATGTCATGGTTCTGTTTGTGACCAACAGGTGACACTGTAGGGCTCCACCTGCAGCTGCACACCTGTTGGTCATTGTGTCATTAGTTTGTTCGTTTAAATGGACTCCCGGCACCACCACTCGGGGTCGTGTCATTGTTGCTGTTTGCTTGTTGCCGTGTGCACGTGTCATGTTCTGTTTTCTGTCTTGGGTTTTTTGCTACTTCGATTTTGCTGGCCTTTATTTGAGTGAGTTTTTGGAGTTTGTTTCTCCTATGTACTCCAGTTTGTGTTTTTGTTAAATACATTTTGGGCAATCCACCCCGCTCCTCCCTGCCTCCCTGCTTTTTGGGGTCCTCCAACTACCACCTCGCAAAACGTGACAAGAAAACTGCAACCTGATCAAATCCACCACATTGTCAATCACAAAAATCATGCCTTAAAATGAATAAATGAATGAAACGTACTGATAAACAAGTATGGCGTGGCAAGCAGAGAAACCAATGTGTAATGGAAAGAGGCTTGCGTCATCATGCAATCAGTGCAATCAGCCTTTGATACAGTTTAAATGTTAAGTCATGTTTTTTACCACAGCTACAGAGGCAGAAAAGGATGGCGTCACCGTGTTCAAGTTTCCTCGCTGGCGTGTGAAGGGCCAGGCCATACCCGAGGTTGTGGCTCAATACAAAGCCACAGGTGCTGAACTGAACGTCATGCCCTTCTGCTCTCAGTTCATTCCCATGGAGGTTATTGACCATCCCAAACATGGCTCCATCATCTACCACCCCTCACTACTGCCTCGCCATAGGGGAGCCTCGGCTATAAACTGGCGAGTAATACAAATGTTCACAAATTTGACCTTCATCCACTTTTTTTACTCATTATCTTTCACACAACAGGACATTGATCCACGGTGACAAAAAGGGTGGATTCACTGTGTTCTGGGCTGATGATGGACTTGACACAGGACCAATTCTGCTACAGAGGGAGTGTGATGTTGAAGCTAATGACACTGTCAACACAATCTACAAAAGATTTCTATTCCCAGAAGGAGTCAGAGGCACGGTAAGTGATGAAATTCTCACAACAGAAAGACTTCTGCAGAACACAGACAGAAAACTTTGAAGATTTCTCCAACGAGTAGTAGGGTTCTGTGACATTTGGAATAATGTGGATTTTTTTCCATTCCTGTTTCTTAAGATATTAATTAACTCCAGCAATCTGATCAGGGAGGCCAAGAGTTCTCTGTCTCTGGACACATCTTTCAGTTCCACCTGGAGGTGGAAGTAGGTCTGCCCTGAGGCATCCTTGAAGTTGGACATGCTTGGAGTATCTTCTCAAGGAGGTGTAGGTGGCATTTGAGCTAGATGTCTGAGCCTGCTAGGCGCTCTTGATGTGGAGCAGCAGCTGTAGTCTGAACTCCTCACAGATGGCCAAGCACCCCTTGATTAATTTTATATTGGGATTTGTTCCAATTCTGTGAAGAAATGTAATTGATACTGTGATAGGAATTTTGGGCCATACCTTACTCATGTGTATACACGCTAAAGTGGGTCATAACTTCTCAGTAAGCTCCAACATTGTTATATTGTCTCTCTACATGTGTTACTGGACCGTTTGTCTTCAAATGTCCATTGCTTACAGGGTTATAACACCGAGGGGTCTATTTAGGTAGACTAGCGCCTGTGTGCTCAGTGCAAAAATGGGCATATGTCCGGGTTTTACCCGGACAAAGTTAAACAAAAGACTCGACACACAGGGAAGATTGTCCTTGCAGTCGGCGGAAGCACGATTTCCCAGAGCGAATGATGGCAGTTGCTCCGCAATCACACTCGAAGTTCCTCGTGCTCCTCGTCACACTTTAATTGTTTACATATGCAAAATACAAGAAAAACACTGCCCCCGATATTTGCATGCCATGCCCCGAGTCCGGCCCCTCGGTGGTGATTTGAATACTGTACTTTTTTCAAGCTTTGAACCACAGATGCACTGACACCTTCATGTCTGGTCTGCCATGAATAAGCATGTGCGACACTTATTACCAGTCCCCAAACCATCTTTTGATGTTCTAAAACACTTCGTTCCGAAACTGTTTACTCCCACTTCCAAGCCGAGTTAGCCTCCTTACATCTGTTCGCACCCTTGCTTTAATGTGATTACTGCGGACTTCAAAAAGCCCGACACCTTCCGTACAGATATTTGGGGGCACTGAATACACTCCAGAACATCTAGACATGCCCAAATTAAAAGAAACATGATATCATTTTGCTCGTAGGTTTCTCTATCAGCATAATTTCATTTTTATGTGTCGTCTCGTGTATATGGGGCCATTTGCGCCGATCTGGACATTTCAGCGCATGGAGTTGCATCGCCCCCGACTCATCTGACAATTTGGCAAAAGAAATTAGTCTGCACTTGGCATAAAAATTGGGACTTTGTCATTTTTGTGCCGAAGAAATGGGCTAGTTCAGCATGTTTGTGAATTTGGTGCATGCGCTACGCCTCACCCCTTGGTGCATCTGCAAATTTCGTGACAAAAAAACAGATTACAGTTTAGACGAGCAAACGCCAGATCTAACTCGCAGTACAGGTGGTTGAACGGGATTTTGGTGTATTTGATCAAGTCGCAGGCAGACAAATTCGGCGATCCACATACGTGTGCAGTGGACATCATGGGATTTCAGTCATAAATATGACACCAACGTGGACCAATCCCTCTCATTGTCGAAATCCATTCATTGAATGAATTCTAATCAAGGGGTTGTCAGGCTCACACAGATGCAACTTCGGGGTTGCAATTGCCCATGTCACATGCACGGGCAAACAACTTGGCAAGTGGCAAGAGGAGAGTTTGTAGTTCATCTGCCAAAGTCATGCATGGACCCCAGCGAGTCTACTTCTGTTCCCGCAATGTCCAGCATGGGGTGCTCGTGCATACTGCGCCTGTAACTGCCGTGATTTTGAGGCGAATGAGGGATGCCACTAGGATTGGGCTGTTAAAAAACAATTTCCGTCCCATAACAGCGCATAAAGGTGCAAGCGCCCTATTACGCCCAAGTCTACCAGCCAAGTCTAGCAAAAGAAAGAAAACTCCATATGTAGTTAGGTGCGCTTTGCGCTAAACTTGTGCTTGGAACGAAAATAGGGCCCGAGAACATTTCGTTACCCTCTTTATAAAGCTTTGCATTGTGTGTTAGTGTTAGTTATTGGACTTAGTGGACACAGAAAGTTAGTTGGTGGAATTTGGTTGTATAACGGTGTAATGGTTTGGTTTTCTAGCAAATCCAACCGGGAGTAGCAATATATGTCTTTTGTTCACCATCTGCTGAACTGCTGCTTGTGAAGTCTGCTGCCACCATCTAAAAGTCATAACCAAAATTTTTGCAAGCATTCAAGACAAAAAAAATAAAATAGTCCGAACAATGGCTCGTATCTTGCAAAACTTCCCGGACGTTTTCTGACTCACCTTATACATTTGAAATGTCTTTTTCTGGTTAAAGGTAGAAGCAGTCAGGTTGATTGCAGAGGGGAGGGCTCCACGAATCACACAGCCACAGGAAGGAGCCACGTACGAGGGCATCCAGAAAAAAGAAAATGCCAAGGTAGCGTAACTTTGAACAAATTCCTCTTTATTTATCTTTTCACTGACTGGTTTGATTTTTTTTTTTTTTAAAGAAGTACAATTGTAGTTGAAGAATTTTGTTTTATTTATTTATTATATAATTGTTTTTGACATTATAATAATTTTTCTCTATCCAGGTAGTTTTTTTGTTTGTTTGTATGACATAACTTCTTACTCCATCTATGGTCCGGAGTGGAAACCATGTAGTATTGATCGCTAATTTTCTCTTCAACAATGTAAGGGCCACTGTAACGTGCTTGAAGAGCAGAAATGGGGAAATCCAGTAAAACAACACATTAACACCTGGACTAATTGTGCTGCATTTTGCATCATTAAGAAACTGCTTTTTCCTTTTTGTTTCGGCTTGACCAACATGTTCTGCTTTGCCAGTACAGCGAGCAAGCTCTGTTAAGTCAAAAGTTACTGACAAAGACTAGGTTCTTTGGTTTCATCACCTAGCCATGTCTCATATAAGAGTTTTTAAGGGCCTCTGCACAGTGTGTACAAACACCAGTGCTGCAGGACTAAAGCCCAAAGACTCCTGAGTCACTTCCCGAATGGCAAAGGTGTACTCCATTCCAGTTCTTTTTAGTGTCAAGACATTAAATAAGGAATATGGTGTTAAGAGTTTTGGGGAATAATAGCCACCTGTCTCTCTGGGTGATAAGCGTGAGATATATTTAACGGTTCCATAACTTATGGAAAAATTCGAAACATGAAGTTTGATCACTGATTGATTTGGAGGACTTTAGGGAAAACGAACATAGACCCCCCCCCCCCATCCCCAAAAAAAAAAAACCTACAAGAAATCTCAAAAATATTGATTTTTACACCAGGTCGGATATGTGTGCCAAGTTTATTGAATTTTCGCCAATGTTTAGACGACCCAAAACAGTCGCATTTTTCTTGGTAAGCAGAATGTCTCCAAAGCAATAGCATTCAACAAAACTGGAAGCTGTCATCTTCAAAATCTTTATTAAACACACCAACATTTTGAAGTCTATTCAATCAAATCCCGAGTAGGAGTTTGTTAAAATATCACTTCTAAAAAGGCTAATATCGTGGCAAAATTTTAAAGTACATAAAGATGACAGATTTCCTGTTAGGTTTTTTTCATGTACCTGGGGCTGTTTCATAAAAAAATTCCAACTTCATAACCCTTTTTTAAATCACACATTAAAGCTTTAAAATATATTTTTTGGGCCAAGCCTGACATGCCTGCAAAGTTTCAGTCAAAAACAGCATCATTTTTCTGGGCAAACAAGGCATCGCCATGGCAACAGCGTTTGTCAAAAACTTTCAAACCTATTCTTTTATCACGAGAACACTTAAATATGTGGTTTACTTCCTGATTCGATTCAAATCACAATACTTGTGTGACGATTAGATTTATATCACGATTATCAATTAAATTACGATTCAATGTCACGGCTCTTGGTGTTGGTGGCTCAGGAACTGGCGCATTCAGATGATGTGATGTGATTCAAATTGGCTCCGCGCTGTCATCTGCTGGAAAGAAGTGGTAGCTTTACCTTTGCTTTTCGAAAAATCAGGAAAATTGATTCTGAACTTTGACATAAAATTATGGGTTAGTATCATTAATGTGTGTTTTCGCGTTTTTTTGTTGTTGTATTTTTTTCATTTTGCTATATGTGAAGTGCTTAGAGCTGCAGCTGTTGTGAAATGCGCTTGATAAATAAAGTTGTCTTATATTGCACTGATGCATATCACACATTCAAGGAAAATAACTTGTGAAATATGGACGAGGTTTGGTTATGTTGAGACAGGTGGAGCAATTTACAGTGGATGAGAAGCCTGACGAGCAACATATTGACATCGCTACCGCCTAATTATTAAATAAGACACATTTGACCGAAATTTGGGGAAAGAAGGGAGATGGTCATGAATTCAAGAAATAAGTGTGTGTGTGTGTGTGTGTGTGTGTGACTGTGTATTTGTAGATTTAGAGAAGGGTGCCAAGAGAGGAATTGTGGTTCTGTATGAGGAAGTCAGAGGTTGCAGAGAAGTACGTTTGGTTGGTGCAGGACATGTATGAGAATAGTACAACAGTGGTGAGGGGTGCAGTTGGACGGACAGAAGACTTCAAGGTGGAGGGAGGACTGCATCAAGGATCGGCCCTGAGCCCCTTCTTGTTTGCTTTGGTGATGTATACATTGGCATGAGGTCAGACAGGAGTCTCCCTGGACTATGATGTTTGCAGATGACATTGTGATCTGTAGTGAGAGTAGGCAGCAGCTACAAGAAAACTTTAGAAAGGTGGAGGTTTGCACTAGAGAGAAGAGGAATGGAGGTCAGTCGTAGTAAGACAGAGTACATGTGCATAAATGTAAAGGAGACCAGTGGAACGGTGAGGTTACAGGGAGCAGAGGTGGCGAAGGTACAGGAATTTAAGGACCTAGGATCAACAGTGCAGAGCAACGGAGACTGTGGAAGAGAAGTGAAGAATAGAGTGCAGGCAGGATGGAACAGCTGGAGGAAAGTGTCAGGAGTGATTTGTGATAGAAGAGTGTCAGCTCCGGTGAAGGGGAAAGGTTACAGGACAGTTGTGAGACCAGCCCTGATACCGGCCATGATGTACGGTCTCGAGACACTAGCAATTGACAAAAGACAGGAGGCAGAGTTAGAGGTGGCTGAGTTAAAGATGCTGAGATTCTCCTTAGGAGTGACAAGGATGGACAGGATCAGAAATGAGGACATCAGAGGAACAACTCACAGGAAAGTTTGGAGAAAAAGTTAAAAGAGGCCAGACTGAGATGGTTTGGACATGTACAGAGGAGGGACAGTGGATACATCGGTGGGAGAATGTTAGAGATGGAGCTACCAGCTCGGAGACAGAGAGGAAGGCCAAAGAGGAGATTCATGGATGCCGTGAGGGAAGACATGCAGGTAGTTGCAGTCAAGAGTAGAGGATGCAGAGAACAGGGAAAGATGGAAATTAATGACTCGCTGTGGCAACCCCTGAAAAGGGACAAGCCGAAAGGAGAAGAAGAAGAAGATATATGCCCACATCATGAACAAACCTACTATAGAAAAAAACTGTTAAACTTCATCGCACTTTACCACTAGATTATAGACAGCAGCAATTAAAATAAACAGTGTAATGTTGTGTTGCCTCATGATAACAATTTCATTTGAAGATCAACTGGAACCAATCTGCTGAAGCTCTCCACAACTGGATCAGAGGAAATGACAAGGTTCCCGGTGCCTGGGCAGAAATTGATGGACAGGTACAGGATCAATTAACTATTTATTACTAAAATTGTATTTTTAATAACCACAGCTAAACTGTGATTGATTCAATACCCTCACAATATAAGGCAACCACCACTAAAATGTTTGTGGTTAGTGTCGAGTAGTTTGATGATCAGCGACTCCAATGGGGTGATACCCACACAATGGAATTCCCTGCACTGTCCTCAACATATGTTGCGTTGTGTGTCTGTTTTTGTTTAGAAGGTGACTTTCTATGGCTCCACACTGGTGGATAATGGCACCAGTGGGAATGGAAAGCCACTGGAGATCCTTGGAGCGAGTCGACCTGGCATTGTCATGAAAGAAGGCCTCATACTCTTTGGCAATGACAGTAAGGCAGTAAGTTACCATATCATTGCTGATCACGGCCGGAGCTACATGGTGGCCATGCATGGCCACTCCTTGTCACTTTCTGGCCACCCTCAAACATAGGAGGAAACATTTTCATATCTGTATTTCTCCTGCCTTTTTCATATAGAGCACATATGTCAAAGTGCCGGCCCGCGGGCCAAATCCGGCCCGCGAGAATGTTTTCAGTGGCCCCTGGGATGATATTGATTTATTATTAGAACCGGCCCGCGGACCGCAGCAAGCCGAGAGCCCGCAGATCTTTTACACGCACCAAAACTACATTTCCCACAATGCAACGGTGACGCGCCAAGCAGTCGG